GAATGGGTCCAAATATTTTAATGTTGCTTTACCTTGTTTAATTTATTGATAAGAATTTGTTGAGTGTGTCCTAGGTTCCTACTTGGTGGAGTAAGGTGGTTCCTAATAAGGTATTTCCTCCGTCCCAAAATTATTGTTCATAGACAAAAAATCACATAAATTAAGAAAACATTAATTACCACAAACTTTATTAAATGAAATGACAATCCTATCATTTTGTTGCATTAAATTTCATCATTTTGTTGTATTTAATGTCATGGTAAATGAGGGGTATTTTGGTAAAAAGGATATTTATTTTTAGAAGTAGACTATTATTTTGGGACAAACCAAAAAGGGGAAACGAACTATTAATTTAAGATGAGGGAGTAAACATTTTTGCTTGGCGTTCATCCTTGGATAAGATGTCAACGCAGGCAAATTTAGAGAGACGTGACATGGATGTTCCTTCTGTTCAATTCCATACTTATGATTCTAGCATTGAAAACTCTACTCACTTGTTTTTTTCATGCTTTTTAGCTATGGAGTTGCGGTCTCGGTTGTTGAGGTGGTAGGTTTAGATTTGTGTCCCATCAGTTCGTATGTTAAGTGCCTCTTGTAATTTTCTTCTCTCAGTGTGTCCGCTTCTATGGAGGTTTGGTTGGAAGGCATTTTCTTCTATATCTATTGGCATATTTGGAATTTTAGTAATGCTTGGTTATTTTCCCATTCTATCCCGAGATTGGAAGAGATCTTTAATAAGTTTGTCACACAATCTTATTTATGGTTTAATGATAGGTCAAAAAGTTATTAACTGGGTTAAGTGGCTTCAAAACCTTAAATTAGCTATTACTTGATGTATGTTTTTTATAGCTCCTTGCTAGTAGTTTCGTTTATAATAAGTTGTCGTTCTAAAAAAAAGAAAATTTTCATATACGTCTCAAATTAACCATCAACTAATGGATGAGTATTACACTCTTCACTCGGAACCAAGGTAATGATAGTAGAACTAGTTGGGCTGGTTGAACCAGTTGGACCGAAAATCAGGGACTAGAATTGTTAAACTACAACTAGTTTTATGCTAATTTTAAAACCAGATTGAACTAGAATGTTTCTTAAAAAACATTGGGTTTAACGGGTGTGATAGAAAACTATTTGAACCAATTTATTGGACTTGGATAGGTAGATTTCACTTAGCCAATAAAAAAACAATCAATTTCCAAAGAAAATTGAATAGTTCGATCGATCAGGTTATCGAAAATGTACACTACTTGAAGGTGGACGCATACCACTGCAAGATGTACACTGGCAGTTGAATCGGTTTAACTACTAACCGGTCACTAGACCAGTTTAACAAAAAAACAAGTTTATAAAACATTGCAAATTTCAACAACACATAATATATATATATATATATATATATATATATATATATATATATATATATATATATATATATATATATATATATATAGAAATTATAATTTGTTGGAAATAATAATTTTTATTAGCAAGTAACATAATATATCATACGTTATGATTTATTAACTCATGTATATCTTTTTGGACTAGGAAGACTTTTTTCTTTATCCCAAAAGTTAAGTTTTATATTTTATAAGTGAGTTTATAAGATTTATAAAACTTTGACTTGTTAGGAAACGGGCATGGCACATGCATTGTAAGTTGTATGTGTGTGGATTCTCTCCCTATTGTTCATATTTTGAAGAACCCTTGCTTATTAATTTGTTCACTTGAATTTCATATTGGTTACAAACTTTAATCTTAAGAGTTAAGAGTTTATGGACTAACATCTACATCAAGTTGGTTTCATGTTGGTGTCTCAAAGGTTCCACATTCTTCTACAAGTTCCAAGCCTCCCCTTGAGGACTCAAAGACAAAAAGGTTGGTTTCTTCATCTTCTTCCTTTTTGGTTGTTTTTCTATCCAAACTTTTCAAGAAGATCTATGGTGGGTATAAACTAGTTTTATGTTTATTCTAATTTTAAACAATTGGTATCAGATCAATGCTTACAAGTTTGGTTAGATTTTATGATTTTTGAAAAATATGGATAACTTGTTTTGTTAGAAAATAAATTCATATATATTTTCTTTGACATCTTTAAAATTACTTTTTTTGACAAACGTTTTCATGCATATTTTATCATTTAAAGTTGTCTTAGAAACACAAGTGTTGTTTTTTGTATATGTTTGTATGTATTATGTTCATAAACTAGTCATGGACCATTTTGTTGTTGTAATTGTTGTTTTGTTAAAAATAATTGTAATATTTATTTATTTATATGGTATGTAATAATTAAATAGATTAATTTTCTTTGTTTATTTTTAGTAGTAATAGTTTAGTAGAAATAATTTATTTGTACAAAAATGTAACAAGAAATGAAGATGCCATCATTTTTAAAAAATCAAAAGGTGATTTTCGCAATTCATAAGCGTGCAGGGAAAATTGTGACATTTCCTGAAACTGTCGCTAAAGCTGTCATTGTTGGCAGTTCCCTTAAAGGATGTTTGAGCTAATACAACACTTTTTGCAACCTTTTATGAAAAGTGTTGCATGCAGCTGAATTATTTACCTTTCAAGTAGATTTTCAACTTTTGCAAGTAATAAATGTTTTCTCTAGTGGGAGGTTCAACAACAACAATACTAGAAGATATTTTGGTCCCTTTAAATGTCCCTTTATGAATGGATTTGAGATTTTTGTGTTGGCTCACAAGAATGTCATTGGACGGTTGATTTATGTGCATATGTTCTTGCATGATTTTGTTGTTTATTTTATGTTGTTATTATTGTGTTATGGTTAATAAATGAATTTTTCCAAATGCAAAATAATATTTAAACATACATAAACATCACAAGGAGTTTGATTTTAATGAGATTTACCTTTCACATAAGATGATAAAATAATTTCAAAAAATAAAATGAGTTTTATCGTTTAAAAACTAGCAAACGGTAAATTTCAAAATTAAAATTTATATAAGTTTGAAATAGAGATTTATAAACTTATCAAACTTCAAACCTTATTTCATAAAATGAAGTTTTATTAAAAGGTTTACAAAGGTTCGAAAATGCCCAAACTCAATCTTAATACCGGGTATTAAATTTAAAACTGAATCGCGTCATATTATATAAAAAACTAGTTTTTTATATAGAACCTTAAAAGTGATTTTCTTTTTGAAAATTGGTAACATGGTTTATTTTATGCATGTAATAACCATGATATCATATGTTTTTAAAACTAATTATAAAACAAAAAACCCCCTTAAAAATAGCAAATCTATGCAATCCTCTTTAAGGAACACTCGCACATATTTTAATACACTAGTAGGATAAAGGTCACCTAACCTCTTAGTGTTATCTTTTGATGGTTGGTGTGTCTTCATGATTTCTTTAACTAAGAAATATGCCGATTACACAAGCTTTTCAAATTGGATGATTTGATCGGAAATCTTTTGTGCTAAAGGTCACATAAGCAAAAGAAATTTGAGACATAGATGGGATCAAACATGTCTAATTCAATTTGTTATTAGTGATCCAGTAAATCTAGGAATTATATACTGTGATATAATTGATAATCGATATCTATCGGGTTGGATTCAAATGAATGGGATAAAGGTCACTTGACCATTTATTGGTTTGTAACTTGGATCCTAGACTTTGATAATTAATGTTTTTGGAAACTAAAAGGGTATTAATTATTGAAGATTAAATATTGAAAATGCTACTTTGCTAAATTTTTGTAGATGATAACTAAATCCAATCTCATAACCATACATCACCTTGAACTTATATATCTACGAGAGACCATACCATTCACTGGATACAAAATATCAACGAATGGACTCGTTCCTTGAAAGAAAATATCGAGAGAAATGAAGAATTATACGTCATTAGATATCCTATTCTTGAACCACCTTCTTTGTACTAATTACATGAACATAATATCTGGTGGATACATAAATGTGATTCCGATGATGTATGCGAGAATATCATGGGTACATTCATTACTGACTTTTGGAAAGAGCTTGAAGGCTTAAATGTATTTCATATGTATCGCCAGGTTACAAAGATATTCCAAATATGTAGTGACATCTAGTTTGAACCAGCTCAAACATTGGAAGTAAGCAAAGATGAAAAGAAGTATTCTTGTGTGATCTAAGAGGCCCCAAGTTCAAGGAAGAGACACCTTTAGGCCCAAGAAATTCAAGAAGGCCCACAATGATGGATAATGTTTCTTCTGCAAAGAAACTGGACACTAGAAGATGAACTTTCCCTCTTATCTATGAAGAAAGTATGGAGAGACTAGTACTTCAGGTATCTACAATACTAGAAAAATACCCTTTAATGATGCGCAAACCATGACACGCGCTGTTTTATGATACGCAAAAGTGTGTACCCTAACAATAATGTTAGATCTCCCAAAATGTGAAGGTTTTAGGACGCGCATTTTTGCGTGCCCTAAAATTAGTGTTACAAAAAAAAACACGGAGGGCACCTATCATAAAAAGAGCGTCATGAAATCATGTCGTTTTATATTTTTTTTAATGAAATGTGCACATCTTCATCTTTAGTAGCAGGAAAAGGAATTCCCCAAAAATTAGAAAAGTCGAAAACCCGTCATGGCGATTTAGGTCTGGTTCCGTCTCCATCTCTCGTTCACTTCCATCTCCACTTTCTCTTCCATCTACAATCTCTCTTCCATCACCCACCTCGCTGGCGATGAAGGTTTCTCGTGATTGTTTGTTGTACTTACAAGCCCTAGGTTCGATTTCAACAAAAATCTTGTTCGATTAACACATTTCATCAAAGCCTAAAATCGTAAAGGAAACCTAGCCCCCATAACTTTCTTCACAGTTCACCTACTCAAAGATCCCATTGGTAATAAATCAAATTATTATGCCCCAATTGTTAATCCATCTAGGTGAGTCCAACTTAGGGCACGATGCGTCCTCCCTCACCAGTGTCTTCACATGTACATAGGCCAATCACTCGCGTACAATTATAAAGATATGCGAACGGCAGAAAAAGAGTGGACAGAGGTGGTGGTGTGGTGCACAAAGGTCTCCAGACGGAGGAGGCAAGCCATGACCGGTCCAACGAACGGAAGAGAAGATAGGTCGAGCGTACACAAGTGAGAAGCAAGGGGGAGATAAGGGAGAGAGAGAAGGGAGGTTTTCGGTGGTTCGGCGGATACTTACTCAGATTTGGCATCTGAAACTTTAATTTGGCATCTTTGATAATCTGATAATTGAAATGCAAAAGCATTGAATGTTAGAGATGAGTTTGTAATCAAGATAATCCATGGCTCAAAACTAATAATCCTCCATTTGTGTATATCATGAGGTGAAAGAAAGCCCTAAATCATGGATGCAAGACGGAATGTCATCAAACGAGGGTTTATTAGGTACACATTTCTTCTACTTCTGATACTCGTAGCCCTTTCTTTTATCGCCATCTTCAACCACACCGAATTCCAAAACATATCTTCATTCTTACGACCACTTTGGGACACACCAACACCTCCATTTCAATACATACCCCATTACTACTCAGAAAACGCCCCCACCAACAACATCTACAACCTCCATGGATGGACTTTAAAGAGATTACACAAAGTATTAACTTCTAACACCCCTCAAACTCTAGAGGGTATGCTTGTGCTTGTAAGTTGTAACTGATTGTGTGATTTGGAAATGTGACATAATATTTATCTATCACATGACCTACAGGTTGCATTTGTCGGATTTATTACATACACACTCTTTATAAGGACAAGATTACATCACACAGATGTAATAGATGGAAGCCTATATCTTGGATGCTTATTCTTTGCATTTGTTCACATGATGTTAAATGGATTTTTAGAACTCCCACTTATGATATTCCGACTATCTGTATTTTACAAGCAAAGGGATAATAATTTCTATCTGCATGGGCTTGGTCTGTTTCTAGTTGGATTCTCCGTGTTCCCTACTCCGTTGTTGAAGCTATTGTATGGTCTATTATAGTGTATTACACTGTTTTCTTTTCCCCTAGTGTAGGAAGGTATGCCCTATTTATTTCCTCTTATAACTTCTGTCACTAGAATCTTGACATGCCCTTATGACTTGATTACTTGAATTCTTCTCAGGTTTTTCCGTTATGTGTTTGTTCTGTTTTCAATGCACCATATGGATTTAGGTATCTTTCGTACATTGGCTGTAGTTGCAAGAAATGTGATCATTGCCAATACTTTCGGTTCAGCTGCCCTACTTGTGGTATTCTTGTTGGGTGGATTTATCATGCCCAAAGGTAATTAAATTGCTAAAGTGTTTTCAGTTTAATTTTCAAAGAAATTCAATTATCTTCTTTCAGATATGATTAATCCATGGTGGATATGGGGTTTTTGGATGTCACCTTTATCATATGCACAAAGTGCAATTGTTGTTAATGAATTTACTGCCATAAGATGGATGAAGTTATGTTTCTCTCACCACTTAACACTTGTGTATGTATGTATGTATGTATGCATGTATTCTCTATGATAATAATGGTGTCATTAAATTCAAACACTACCACTTTACAAAACCTCACTGGTACCAATACTACCCTTGGATACACTGTTCTTCAGTTCCATGATTTGCTTACTCTTTGCAATGCTACTAAAATTTCCAGCCTGTCATTCATTATCTCAAAAATTTGGATAACTCATTCTTCCAATTTTTTAAGTGGATTTATGAGGTACTTTTCCATTCTTGGACTTTGGTTTCAGTTTCTTGTTATATGACAAGCATCTTAAGTTCTTTATTTATTCTATAAATTTTTTTTGTCATCCAGGAGCGATATTTTTTTGGTCCTGGTCGTTATGAGAGGCCAATGGATTACATAAGGTTTTGCTCCATGCCTTATTAGCGCCATTTTCTCTTTACTTGTACATGTTTTAAACCTAAATTAAGTCCTTACTCTTTGTGCTTAATGTTTACAGATATGTGCTTTACTGGTTGGTGGTCTTTGCTTGCAAGTTTACTCTCACCTACTTCCTTCAGGAAAATTATGATGCATGAGATACAAGTTTTTTCGTGTGTTTATTTTAGCAGTTTTTCTACAAGATTGTCATTATATTTTGTTAAGTTAGTAGCCCATTGTTATGTTGTCTATTCTTAACTTTCCAGATTCGACCATTGGTGGAGCCCACCAATATTATCAAGGACCATCCTAGGCTGCAATATTCCTGGCGTGATCTTGTCTCAAAGGGTAAGCCTTGAATCTTCTATACATTTCACTTGGTTTTTGTTTATTTTTAGATCACTTATTGTATCTGATAAGAACTTTGCCACTTCCATTTTGTAGATATGTCAAAGGAGTGCTAATTTTGTGTTTATCCTTTGTCCTTTGCAGATAATAATAATTCTCTTACCTTAGTGAGCATATGGGCCCCTGTAGTGGCTGTGAGTATTTTCATCTCTTTCCAATCATTCTTGCAAATGACTTGTAGAAAAAAAACGTCATAGCTCGAAATAAAAAAAACTTCTCTTTTCCCTCACCAACGATCTCATCTAAACCTTTTATATACAGCTGATCCAAGTGCCTCTTCTGAACCACCTGAAAGATCAAACTTATGGAGGTATTTATCCTCCATTATCAATAAGTTATCTGTTCTTTTGCATGGTTATTGAGTATTGATGATGATTTTTGTCTGATTACTTGTGCTGTAGAGATGTCGGATGAATTTAACATAACATGGCTTCATAGAGGGGATCTCATACTTAATGTTAGTGATTTATCAATTGAATCAAGTATGAACTTAGGTTTGTTGCTTGATCAACTAAGGTATCAAGCTGTGAAGTCACTCAGCAATATGGTGGTTATTATTCTAATCAAGAGGTAATTTTTGTCTTCATCAAGAATTTTTTTTCTGGTAAGTTGATTTGGTTTGTTAGTGGAATTTGATTGAGATTTTATGCATATCATGTGCTTGTTGGGGGTTATTACAGTTTAGAACAAATTTTGTATTATTCATTTCAATGTTATTACAATGATGATCAGGAGCTATTTCCATGTCTTTCTCTGGTACTTTTTAAAATTCACCAACCAATTAAAGTTTAGAACAAATTTTGTTGTATTTATTATAACTAGGCTGAAAATTTAATTGAAACTTTTAAATTTTGAATTAAATTCTAAGACTTTGATAAAGGAGATACAAAGCTAGATATTAAGAGTAGAGGTCTATGTTTGGTTCCTATTTCATGTACTTCTCAAGTTACAATGAAAATAATGGATTAGGTCATTAGACTATTGTTATGTTATTTTGATATAAATTAGTGATTCTTTGAGTATTACCCCATATGTTTTTCCATACAGGATAAGAGTTTACAAGACAAAATCCTTAGGGCAGGAAGTACAACTGATAATACTCTTGGTGTGAGATAATTTTGTGTTACTCTTTTAATATTCTCAATACATCAGTTATGCTATCTGTTAACATCTTGTTCTTTATTATCAAGAGAAATTTGAGGAAGACTGCAGCTTAGGAAGTGGTTGACAAAATGAGGCAGCACAATGGTCTGTTGGTTGAACAGGTGAAATAATAACTTATTTCATGCATATTTTTTTAATGCCATTAAAGTTAAATTGTAGGGATAAATGCAAATCACAGCAATGTAATGGTTTGGTTGGTTTTCTTTTCTGATTTGAACAACCAGACATTCTCCTGCAAATTCAAAAGGAGGATGGCACAGGCAAGGAGATTATTTTGATTCCACTCTCATACATACAATGTGTATGATAGGGCCTTCCTTGAGGCCACCAAAAATACTTTAATTCAAGACAATATAAAACTCTTATTAGTAGATTATTTTGATTCCACTCTCATACATACCATGTGTATTATTAATTAGTTGATATTGATATTATACAACTGACATGATTATTGTGTAGGATTTCCGTGTTGTTTTTGATGAAGAGTTGGGATTGATATTGAAGCTAAGAGACATGATGATTGGTTGGATACATGAAGGGTTTCAGAGCTTCTTTAGACAGCCTAATGATGAGTTACTGAAACAAGAAGGTGCCCCTTTATAGCAATGTAGGATTAGGTTATATAGTTAGGCGAAAACCTCTTAATAACAATGTACAATCAAATCCCTTTAATATCAATGTATTACAATTTTTTGACATGATGTTATTGGATGAAATTGATTGTTTTGGTATATATATATATATATATATATATATATATATATATATTTTTCTATATTTTTGTATTATGCGTAAAAGAGTATCGTAAAGGCACGTCGTATATGCATATTGTAAATGGTTGCTAAAGTTTTTGACACACAAATGTGTGTCATCTTCATTCATGACAGAGGCTATAATAATACACAATGCGTGTCCTAAACGCACGTCGTAAGGTTACGACACGCAAATGTGTGTCGTCTTCATTTATGACATGGCCTTCCTTGATACACATTGTGTGTCGTAAATGAGCGTCGTAAATGCGTGTTGTCTATAGATGACGCTCAAAAGCGTGTCGTCTCTCGTTATGATAGGGCCTTCCTTGACACGCATTTGCGCGTCGTCTGAGCATTTTACGACACACATTGCGCATCGTAAAAAGCTGTTTTTCTAGTAGTGCTACTAGATAGAACTCATACTTTTCATATAACACTTACGTACTTGGTACTTAATGTTTATCTAATATTTGTAAATGGCTTGCAGATATTTACTGAAGAGTAACCAGTTGAGCACAATCAAGTTAGAACTTCACTCTTGGAGTTTAGTTTATTATTTATGCTTAGAACATAAAGTACTTGTAACGTAAAACAATATTTGTTTTGGAAAAATGTATGTTTTAATTTAGCATGTTTAAATTTATGTCTCGGTTTTTTTATTTAAATGTTGGATTATTTACTTAATCATTTTTCATAACAATAATATTCATATTTTGAAATGTTTAACTTCTATTTGTGAGATTAGAAAGGGCGCAACCTTACCCATATAATGCATTCAATCCTCCAGGACCAGACATTCTATTGCGACACTCCAGACCATCGTGCGAGGACTTGGTCGATGCCATTTCTGACCCCCAACAATCCCCCCTCAGAAATTGCTCCCTAAGAGAATAGAACCCTCGCCACTGGCTCTGATACCACTTGTTGAGCATCAGCGCTACCGGTTGATCTAAAACCAATTAGTGTTAGAAAGGGCGCAACCTTACCCATAAAGCGCATTCAGTCCTCCAGGACCAGGCATTCTATTGCGGCACTCCAGGCCATCGTGTGAGGACTTGGTCGACGCCATTTCAGACCCCTAACAATAAGATTTATTAAAGTATATCATGGTTTATTGGATTCATGCTACAATCATAATATAATATGTTTTCTAAACTATAATTATAAAAACATCAAAGACCACTTACAAACCTCAAATCTATGCAATCATTCTTGAAGAATAATCACATATCTCTTGTATGCGCTAGTGGGATAAAGGATATCTAACCACTTAGTGTTATCTTTTGATGGACGAGGTGTTCCCGTGATTTCTATAACCAAGTTATAGGCCGATTACACAAGTTTTTCAAATTGGATAATTTGAACGGAAATCTCTTGTGATAAAGGATACCTAAGCAAGAGAGTTGCGAGGTATAGATATGATCAACCATTTCTAATTAAATTTGTTATTAGCGATCCCATAAATCAAGGAATTATATGGTAAGATATAATTAATAATCGATATCTACCGGGTTGGATTCGGATGAATGGAATAAAGGATACCTAACCACTTATTTGTTTTGTAACTTGGATTCTAGACTTTGATAATTAACGTTTTTTGGATACTAAAAGGGTATTAGTTATTAAAGATTGAATATTGAAAATACTAAATGATTATTGTTAAAACATTTTGTAGATATAAATAAACCACTCTCATTACCATGAATTTTCATTTTATTTAAAGACTTAATAAAACAATAACATTCAAATAGATACGAATTCAATTAATGGGTTCATGTCTTGAGACACAATCTCGTGAGAGATGTGAAGTTGTATACACTTAAAGGTCCTACTCCTAAAACAACTTGCTCTGAGCAATAGAACTGAACATGATACCTAGTAAAGGTATCATTGTGATGCTCAAGATGGTTCTAACAACATACTAGAAACAATTACCCATGACTTATAGGAAGTCTTTGATAATTTAGATATATATCTAATGATATAACAGATTAATCAATATTCCAATAAATACGTTGATACTTTGTTGTAATAGTGCAAGGCTAAACTTGTGTGATCTAAGAGGCCCATGTTTTATGGACTGGACACTTTTAAAAGTCAGAAATCCAATAAGGTCCACATAGATGGATCTTTTTTCTTTTGTGGAGAAACTGGGCACTAGACGATGCATTGCTCCTCTTATCTAGAAAGAAAGTCTGGAAGTGAATAGTATATTAGGTATCTACTGGATAGAACTCATACTTTTCATATAACACTCAAGTACTTGGTACTTAAATGTTAATCTAATATTTGTAACTTGATTGCAGATACTTACAGAAGAGTAACTTGCTAAGCACAAACAAGTTGGAACTACACTCTTGAAGTTTAGTTTATTATTTATGCTTAGAACATAAATTACTTATAATATAGAACAATTCTTGTTTTAGAAAAACGTATGTTTTAATTTTAGCATGTCTAAATATATAAGTCTCACTTGTTCTATTTAAATGCTTAATTAGTTACTTAATCATTTTCCTTAATGATAATATTCATATTTTGAAATGATTAACTTCTCTTTATGAGACTAGATCCTTAATAGAATTATAAAGTAAATATCAATATATTAATAAATAAAATTAAGTTCTATATAGAAGCACTTTTGACTAAAACTTGTTTTAAATCAAACTTATCTGTGATATTGTTATATTTATTATCTAAATGAAATACACATATTCCAACTTCAAGAAAGTGGTCTTTGAAGGAAGATAATGTAGTCTATTTAAGATTGTGAATCTTATATATATATATATATATATATATATATATATATATATATATATATATATATATATATATATATATATATATAAAAGAGATTCCTAATGATATTTTTACTAAAGTGTAGAGAAAATAATTATTAAGGAACTATACACTTTGGTGTATGACTTCCTTTCTAATGAATGCGTAAGACTAAGAACAAGATACAACCCAGTAATACCATCTAAATGCTTTGTGAAAGTAAAGGATGAATTATACTTTACCTAATATAGTTTAATTTCTAATTGGTAGAAATGTCATCCTTTAATATTTTTTGGATAGTACTTCAATCACTATTAATTGTATTTTGAATATAAACACCAACTAATTACATAATTATAGAATACTCTAAAAGGGCATTTAGATTATTTTGTTCAAACCCACCATGAATAAGTTTTCTCATTCCTATGAATGTTTAGTTAGCAGAAAGCATGTGGAAAGCACATGGAACTTGAAGCAGCTCAAGAACCATAGCCTGATGTAACAATTGTTGGCTCTAGTTTCAATAAGGAATTATTGAACTTGAATTACAGTTATTCATAAACACAAACTATTCACATTAATGGTAGAAATCATCTATGACTTGAGAAATGTCCAATCTCTCATTGATGAGTTCTTGTTGGTTTCTGGAAACTTTATCTACCACCAAAATGATATAAAAGACTTAGAGTCATGAACATTGAGATGTAATCCATGTATAGTAATCAAGTATGAGCTTGAATAATCATCCTCTCTATTGCAAGGATAGAAGGAGTAAGAGATTATTCTAGAAAGTATTTATACATGGAAATCTATACATATTTGGCAATACTTGTTATAAAAGGGTTTTCCCATACTCGTGTCATTAACTGTGGTCCTTATCATACTCATGAAATTGACTATGATCAAACTTTTTCACAAGTAGCTATGATTAGATCCACAAGGATTTTATTTATCATAACTACATATTCTTAATATGAGATATGACAAATAGATTTCAGGAAAAACTGCTTTTCTTAATAGACATCTACGAGAAGATATGTATATAGCTTAGCATGGAGGTTTTCTTAATCCATGTTATCCTAACAAAATGTGTGATGCTTGAGATCCACTTGTGGATATAAAGCAAACATCATAAGATTGGAATCATCATTTTAATATATAAATACAAGGTGTACTTTTAAATAAAAATGAAGATGACATTTGTGTTTACTAAGAACTAGCGGGATGATAGTGATATTCCTAATCATGTATGAATGAGATATAATTAATCATTCGAAATTACATTCCGAATATGCATGTTCGTTTCACCATGACTTGAAAAGTGTTTCTAAAATGAAAGACTTAGGAATGACAATATACATTCTTCAAATGTAAAATCTATAGAGATAGATAAAGATGAATGTTAAAAATTTTAAATTGTTTTGCAAGACTTAACAATATCTTGAAAGAGGTCAAGATACAAGATTCCTTTGGAGGATTATTGGCATTGTCACATGACATCATTTTGAGTCTGTCTTAAAAGGACCTAGCACATATGTTTGAGTTAGATGAAATGATTTATATTCTATTTGCTTGGCCAATGAATCCATCATTTACGTCATGTCATGAGACACAAATTGAATATATGGTTAAGTTACTGGATGACTATGAGAACATTCTAAGAGTACTTATGAAGAACTAAAAGAATGTATGAGATAATCAGTTTAGGATAAAATCTTCATGTAAAGAGCTACATAGGATTTTGACTTCTAAACAAACATAGATAATTATGAATTATAATTGGATTATGAATTCATTGTGGAATGAAGAGTAAGTTTAGTTGGAATGAGGTCCAAGCAAAACAAAATAGAACAATCTACTAAATAAGAATACACTACTTTTTAGTAGTTGAAATCAAATATGATTGTATGAACTAGATCATTGAAAAACTAGGTTGAATCCTTTCATTCTGTGATAATCTAGAAATCATTTATGAGTAATAGACTGTACTTAATCAAGCTAAGAAACTCTATGTCACATCAGAGAACCAATCATGTTCTCCAAGATATTTAATTATACTTAGAGTAAAGTCAA